CCACTAACTTCCAAGCCAGCTCAGAAATGGCTCTGTAGGACCTGCTCACAATGTTAAGTCAGTCCACCATTAAAGTCTAACTTGAGATTGCCTTGACAGAGAACCCACAACCTGATCAACAACCAGAGCTCCCTCAATTGTGAAACCTGTGACTAAGCCATCTTAGATTGCCATCCAACTTTGCCAACTTTGACCTTCATTATTAAAGCCACAAACCTTTCAGACAAATTTGCTCCACAATAACAACTACCCCATCAGCAACAACAATGGTTTCTACAGTAGCAACAGGAATGAACAATGGCCTATCCGCTTTATGGTAAGAATACCAGATCAAGCAGACAAGAGACTTGATGTCTAATTTCAACTCCACCACTGAATACATAAAATTCACTACCCTGAGTGAGTCAGTTAATTCTCAGGAATTCAGTTACAACAGCCTCACACAATGAACTCTCAGGTACTTTTTAGCTAAAGCATTCATAACTTTATAATCTTTTAATTGTCTCCTCTTTTTCATTTGTTTTTGCTATATCATATGACTTTCATACTGCCAATATCTCAAAATACAACTAAAATCACAAAACAAAGATAGTAGGCATGTGATATGTATATATGTATCAATAAAACACAAAAATACAATTTTATATAAAAATTAGCACCATCTTCAAATAGTAATTTCCCTGAAATAACCACTAAAATCTTTCAATGACTAGTCATAGGTAATGGTAGTCTTTATACTTTTTAGGTTGAATTGTATGCCACCCTGGGAAACATGAAAAATTAACTGTCTGCATGCCAGAAAAGGCTCACAACCACCCATAACAAGATCTGATGTCCTTTTCTGACAAGCAGGCAGACAGAAAACTGTATACTAAATAAATAAATCTTTTGGGAAAAAAAAAGAGGTACTCTCTCTCAAAGGGTGTCGTTCCAGCATGCAGCCAGAAGACACTGTGTCGTTGCAGATGGAATTCTAAGAGTTTAAAGCAAAGTTACTTCTTTCCTCATTAGAGGAAAAAGCGCCTCTTTCCAAAGCTGGCTTTCTACATGCCCAGAATTAAAGTCAACTCGGGAAAATAAAGTAGAATTGCCAGGAGTAGGAGAGAGAGGAGAGAAAAGCTGGTGGAAGGAACAAGGGAAACAACAAGCGAGTGTAATGATGTGCATGTTTGTAAAAACGTCTTACGAAACGAAACCTACTTTGGGTTCACTAACTAGAAAAAAAATTAATACAAATATTTTATTTATTTTTTTTAACCCAGAATGGCCTTAAACACAATCTACCTGCATTAATCTTGTCAACACTAGGAACAGACATATGTTACCATGCTGGCTTCGGGGAGGGGGGGGTGCGCATGTGTGTGCATGTATGTATGCATGTGTACTAGGTACTGAAGATGAAACCTGGAGCCTTCAAATGCTGGGCGAGCAGTCTACTCCTCAACAACACCTTCAGTCCCTTGTTTTGTTCTGTCTTGTCTTGTTACTATGTGAGACAAGGTCTCAAGGAACCCAGACAGACTAATCTTAAATTCATATATCCCAGGCTGGTCTCAAACTTGAGATGTAGCTAAGGATGACTCTAAATTGAACCTCCTGCCTCCACCTTCAAATGATGGGATCACAGGCACCACAACAGGTTTTACGACTCTGCCTCCCTCCCATGTGCTAGGATTACAGTGATGTGCCTCCTTGCCCAGCTACCTAAGTAAATGCTTTAAATTTTTCATTCTACATATGAAAAGTAACAATCTATTGTAATCCTTTGTCCTGTCACAAAGTGACTGTGATCCCAGAGCTAATCTTGAGCTTCAGAATGTATCTAGATGCATAAGGAACTTACACTAAATAACAACCATAAACCTTTGTTGTTGTTGTTGTTGTTTTCATAAATCGTACCTTAATTTTAAGTTAATTTTGAGTTGGGGGAGCCAGATGTATGCGTGTTATGTGCAGGTGTGTGGTGTGTGCTCCCGCCTGTACTTCCAAAGGCCAGAATCAACAACAGGTACCTGCCCCTATCAATTTCTTCTATATTTTTTGGGAGAGGGGCTCTCACTGAACCTGGAACTATGCTGGTGGGTCACCTCCTGTCCCTCTCTCCAACTCCTAGCACTAGAGTTACAGGTACAAGCGCACACCTGGCTTGGGTGCTTAAATCCAAACTCAGGCCTTCATGCTTGCACTGTGAACACTCTGTCCACCTGCCCCCAAACTACAAATCTTTATAACTCACTTAGAATTCTATTTCTAAAATGTTTTAAAATGTAAACTCACCTCATCTGAAGACTCAACCTGTCCCAGTGCTCCCGGAGCACCTGCGAGACCTTCAGGTGGAAGAAAAAGAGGTTGGCCATCTTGAAAATTATTCTGAGATATGAAAATATCAGAACTTTCTATGAGGGAAAACACCACATTCTAAACATTACCTTGGCAGGGTTCAAGGATAACTTTAAAGTGTTATCTAATAGGCTGGTACTTCAATAGAAAAATCCCAGTGAAATCCTAAATTTAATAACAACAAGTGGTGCTTCCAAAGGAGCTTGCTTCTCAGGTCTGAGCCATGACTGCTAAACACTAAGCTGGTAACGTCTAAGTAGCAACTACTGCACTTCTCTCACACATCAGAGCCAAAGCACTAAACACTCAACAACTCACATTTAAGGAAAGCAAAAAAGTAAAGATTCTTCATGGTCTGGATATTCCCCCACCCCTTCAGCAGAAAGGAAAGGCCAATCAATTATTTCTTGATTCTAATATAAAGAATGATACTGTTAAAGCTCAAAATAAATTTGTTCAATCATAAGAAAAGTTTCAGGAGCTTTCTGCTTTAATAAAATAATGTCACTACGGTTCAAATTAAATATTTAGACAAACCTTGAACTAACAGAGTGCTAGTACCAGCAGATGGCTCCTGCATACCATATACAAGCTTATCCTCAGGATATGTGAGTCCAGAGCTCTTCAAAGCTATAAGGTACTTCTCATGACTTTTCTTTGCACAAGCATTTTCTCCAAGACCTAATATTTAAAATAAAGTTAGAGTCAGAAGAAAATATTCCACTCAAAATCTAAATAGTCATCATGTGAATACACATGAGTAAATATTTTAATGGAAGAGGAAACTACAACAAACATAAAATTTGTTTCATATAATATTTTGTGCTTATGCTTGGCATTGACAATTCCAGAATGAGCAACAGGAATGAAATACTGTTATAAATCAGTGGTAAAGAAAGGCAAAAGAAAATACTACAATGACAATTGCTAAGCAGACTTCTGCAGGTGACCTGAGCATCTGTGGCGTTAGGACACCAGCCATGCAAGACTTATCCAGAGAAGAGTGCTCAGAAAGGCTTTCCTGAGGAGATAAAGCTTCAGTAGAAATTTTAAAATATTGCAAACAAAATTACATTTGATTCTTATTTTTTCCAATCTTACCACATTTAAGAAACCAAAAGTATAATTTATAGCCAGGCAGTAGCACATGCCTTTAATCCTAGCACTTGGGAGGCAGAAGTAGGCAGATCTCTGAGTTTGAGGCCAGCCAGGACTACAAAGTGAGTTCCAGGACAGCCAAGGCTACAAAGAGAGACTCTGTCTTGAAAAATGAAAAACAAAAAGGGAAACCCTACATCAAGGAAGGAAGGAAGGAAGGAAGGAAGGAAGGAAGGAAGGAAGGAAGGAAGGAAGGCAGGCAGGCAGGCAGGCAGGCAGGCAGGCAGGCAGGCAGGCAAAAAGTATAAATTATATTGAAGTACCACTGAACAATTTGTCTCCACAAGTATGAAAACATCATTTAGGTTCCACAGTTCATCTTAAAACTTTCATTCAGGCATTTCAATTTACTAATTATTGCTGGTTTTCTTCTTGTTTTTTTAATATATTATGGAAAACGAAAATATAGTGAAAGAAATGAGTAGTAATTCAGAGTTCCTTTTTTTTTTTTTTTTTGTTTTTCGAGGCAGGGTTTCTCTGTGGGTTTTGGAGCCTGTCCTGGAACTAGCTCTGTAGACCAGGCTGATCTCGAACTCACAGAGATCCACCTGCCTCTGTCTCATGATTGCTGGGATTAAAGGCGTGCACCACCACCGCCTGGCTAATTCAGAGTTCTTTTTTTTTTAAATATTTATTTATTTATTATGTATACAATATTCTGTCTGTTTGCCTGAAGGCCAGAAGAAGGCACCAGACCTCATTACAGATGATTGTGAGCCACCATGTGGTTGCTGGGAATTGAACTCGGGACCTTTGGAAGAGCAGTCAATGCTCTTAACCGCTGAGCCATCTCTCCAGCCCCCTAATTCAGAGTTCTTAAGGAAAACTTATTCCCTATATAAAAGTCTAATTCCATGGCATTTGCCAACTCTTAGGTGGTTTGTGTCTTACTTAAGCTCTGAACGCTGCTTACTATGTAATCACACAGGAGTTCAGTGTGTTGAACTTAAAGCTTAGTTCTTCAACTCTAGTTCCGGGAGATCTGATGACCTCCACAGATGCCAGACATGCAAGTGGTTCACATACACACATGCAAGTGAAATACTCACACATATAAAGTAAGAAAATCTAAAAAGGAAAAAACAAAAAAACAAAAAAGGCCTAGGGTAGTATCACAGTGAATATTCACTGGTTCTCCAAAACTCTGCCCAACACTCCTTGGTATTCTGCCCCCAAAATTCCAGTTTCCACTAGCTTCAGCAGACCAAAATGATGATGGATTTGTGCATCTTTTTAACTCAGCAGGACCACCATGATCTGCTTCAGGGCCATCGTGTACAGTCAGGAAGTCTCCCAGAACAACCATGAGACTCACACTATTCCTTTTCCCGAGAGTCTACAGTGTGCACTACCTTTTTTGCTATACTTTCAAAAGTTGCCTCGTCTTTTGTCCTGTTGCATGTTACTTATGACAAACACTAGAACATCTTCCTGGGATCTAACCCCTTTACCACCCAATTCCATGACCCTCTAGCTCATGACTTCTGCTGTGAGATTTTACTTTGAATAAACATTGCCTTTTTAGTGAGGTATTAGCATGTCCCCACCCCAACAACAAGGAATTGATATTCTAGTCTGGTGAGACGGTTCAGCGGGTAAAGGCACTGTCAGCGACCAGCAACCTGAGCTGAACTCTCTCAAGTTTCATCAGACCTAATGAAGACACTGGTTGCTCCAATAGAAATTAGTTGAGAAGTCTTTAAAAGGCCACGTAATTTTTCTGAAGTTCAGTTTCTTCATCTATAAGTTTCCTTAGTAATTTCAAGCTTTAGAAGTCTATGAAAAATATTAACTTCACTTTTAAATTCTAAAAGATGCTACTTTTTATTACAACAAATAAGTAGATTGTAAACTTCTCCTACCATTTCACTTACCAGAAGTCAGATCTTTGTAGTTTTGCTGGTTTGTTAACACCTGAGTAAGAACAGACCTCATTGCTCCTCCCATTTTAGTCAGGTCTTCTAAAAAGGAAATTTGAGGCTCCAAAAGCTGCAGGACTTTGTTAAGATCTTTTTCTGATGGCACATCAGCTGCTAAAAAGAAAGAGTTTTTTATGACATATATGTTATATATGTGTATGTATAT